TAAATTAACATACTTACTCTTTACATTAATATAGCAATTGTGTAATTTTTCAAATTCAAGAGCAAGTTCATCAAAAGTAAGAATATCATCGTTATCGTATACCTCACTAGGGTTACCACCTAGTGGTGTTGTACATGGGGATGAGGCTTCCTTAGAGCTCAAAGCGGGATTTTCCAACGCTTGTTGAATAGCTTCCAATTTTCCTTCATGTGCTTCAATAAGTTTCCATAAGGCATAAGCACTATCAAAATTAGCAAGTTTGTTAGAAAACGATGAGTGAAAAGCGCTAATCAAAAATCCTATTTTATCATTATCACACCATTTGGATTTTTCCAAGATGGGAATAACATAACCATCCTCAATAATTTCCCACAAATCAAATTGATTAGATTGAACAAAAAGTTTGAATCTAATACGCCATTGAGCATAGGGGAAATTATCCAAACGAGGAGCAATATTAATAGCATATCCTAAGCAAGATGAATCATTCATATCCATAGAGATGAAATGCAAGAAGCACAATTAATCAAAATTAGATTAGCACTAATACAATAACTTGGATCTTTAACTCAAGGCGGTTAGTCCTTAAATCAAAGAGCACCAAGCTCTGATACCAATTGTTAGACCCTAGAGGGGGGGTGATTAGGGTCTTATGCTAATCTAATCCCAATTAATAGCAATTAAAATTATGTTGATCAATATGTTTACACACGATATTGATATCCACTATCGCAAACACACGATAGTGAACAATAAGAATAAGAACAATAAGAATATGCACGAATAAAAAGTGAGACAATCAAAACGCAAACACACGATATGTTTACGAGGTTCGGTCCCCACGACCTACGTCCCCGCTCCTCACCTCGAGGAGATATCCACTATCGCAATCCGGTTTGGAAGCCGGAACTTCTACACACTCGGTTTACAAGTTCACCGAAAACTCTCACACTACACAATCACTCAACAATCACACTTTACACACTAAGTGTAGGAATCTAGCCCGTGTCCTCCTCCTCAAGTGCTCGATTACAACCTCTCCCTAGGTTCGTCAATCGACGCCACTCCTATTGGATTTGACCCCGTCTCTCTCTCCTCACACTTCTCTCGGTGTACAAGTGTATTACAAGTGATTCTCACAAATAAAAGTTAAGTACAATGATTTGTTCTCAATTAACAAGTGAGAACTCAATGAAGCTCACACTCACTAAATCCCACACCACAACCCACAATATAATATGAGAATATAAAGCTCAATAAGTATGTGTGATAATAGTGAATGAAACTCAATAAATATAACTCAATGAATATAGCTTAATCAATTGAAAGTGAAATAACAAGCTATATAAGAATGGGTTTAGAAAACTTCTCAATGAATAAGAAGAGCTGAGGAAATGATGATCTCAATAAGATTTGAAAGCCTCTTCTTGTTGTAAAAAAACTTCTCTTGAAAAACTTCTCTTGAAAACTGATTAACGAAACCAACTCTTAAACAGCTCTTAAACAGGATTAACAACTTGTTAAACAGCAAACTTGGATTTCTTGATTAATAGAGAAGAAGAGCAGCAATGGGGTATATATAGCACCCCATTGCAACAGCTAAAAATAAGAAAAAGACCAAAAAGCCCATTTATTAACGAAACCAACTCTTAAACAGCTCTTAAACGAGATTAACAACTTGTTAAATAGCAAACTTGGATTTCTTGATCATGGAGAAGAAGAGCAGCAATGGGGTATTTATAGCACCCCATTGCAACAGCTAAAAATAAGAAAAAGACCAAAAAACCCATTTGAAAAACTAGCATTTCGGTCGACCGAATGGATATTTCGGTCGACCGACGGAAATTCCGGTCGACCGGAAAATACTCAAAGAAATTCTCAGAAAACAGACTACCGTCGGTCGACCGTATCGGTCGACCGAAATCTGATATGTGAAAAATGACAGGTTTTGGGTCAGTTTTGAGAATTCGTTAAAAATATCAATTCATATCCAAAAATAGTGAAACTTTAGGGAAAGTTTATAAATGATGAAATGAACATGTTTGAAAAGGAATTTTTGGAAAAATGAATTTCGTTTGTGAAAACTACCTGTTTTTGAAAAATGATTAGAAAACCTGTATTTTTATGAAAGTGAAAGTTTGATATTGGACTTGTAAATATTCATATATATATTGTGCATATATTATATGTATATAATAAAGTATGAGAGAGCTGTAAACAAGAGATAAAGATATTTTAACAACGTTTAAAGAAAAATCATCTATATGATAGAAAATGTCAAAGATCGTGTTAAGTGTATATATATTGAGCTTAGATATAATCATACTATATATGTAAGAAAACTGATCATATACCTAAGAAAACCCACGCAGATGAACTTGAATCTTTAACGCTGTGTTGAAATACCTGAAAAGAGAACATAAACACAAAACACTGGAAAAACGTATTAGTAATAAATTGTTTGTCAAATCATCATCAAAACTATAGGGTCAACAATCTCCCCCTTTTTGATGATGGCAAACAATTTATACATGAATGTAAAGTATACACTGATAATCCACATATAACCCAAAACAAGAATAAATCATACATGACCATATATATAAAACACACATGATCATATATAACAGAATTAATTTGTAAGCTATATATGTGGTAGTTTTCTCCCCCTTTGACAACATCAAAAAGAGGGAAAAATGAGAGATAGGAGCAATGCTCCCCCTGCTTATAAGCATAGATAAAAAATAAAGAGATTTATGTCAAAAACTCCCCCTGTCAAATAGACAGGATGACATCAATAGAGCATATATACAGGAGCTAAACTGACAACTATCCATCAAACTTATGCATAAGAAAAAATATGCAAGAAACAAAACATGGGTATTGTCTTAACCATGCATTGATCACAAAATGATAAACTGACATCAGCAATTTACAAATCATCATTTAGGCATTACAAAAATGATAAACCACGCATTGATACATAAAAAACAAAACTTAAACATAGGCAACTTATGATAAGCAACTATTTGCTGCATACCAAAACATGAGTGTTGTTTCTACAATGCAGTGATTCATAAAAGAATTAAACTGAACATGATGATTCACAAATAACATCATATAGACATTAAAAGCAACATATTTATGCAGAAAAATATAGGTTTGTCCACGAGATAGCAAGTCATACATAAAACGTCACACAAAACCATACATAGTTGTTCCACAAAGCACCAAAGCATCATAGAGTTATACACTCAAATAAAAACAGAGTTATCAAGTTTTTACAACCCAGAAGAAAGCATAAAAACATCACAGGAAGAGACTCAATCAGTCATCACCTCCTCCAACATCATCACCATCTCCACCATCATCACCACCTCCACCATCATCACCACCACCATCACCATCTGAGTCATCAGCAGAATCCTCACCAGAATCAGACTCAGAATTAGAAGGGATCCCGAGAGACTGACGCTGGTATGAAAGAATAGTCCTAACGTCCTTCTGAATAGATGTGACACGAGTCTCAAGACGATCAAGACGGTCACAAATCTCAGAAGTGGAAGAAGTGGAATATATATATATATATGGGTATGCTTGGTACTAAGCACAAAAAATTGTGCTTGGTAGTGAGGTGTCACATCTCCCTCCACTCATTCAAGTGTGAGACCACATTCACATGGGTAATGAGTGGATGTGGATGTGACACATCACTACCAAGCAATATATATGAGAGAAATATGGGTATGCTTGGTACTAAGCACAAAAAATTGTGCTTGGTAGTGAGGTGTCACATCTCCCTCCACTCATTCAAGTGTGAGACCACATTCACATGGGTAATGAGTGGATGTGGATGTGACACATCACTACCAAGCATAAAATTTATGCTTGGTACCAAGCATACCCATATATATATATAACGTAAAATATGTGTGTGTGTGTGTGTACACACGTTGATTGAGGAGTATAATAATGTAAAATTATAGGCACGATGGGCCAGGATGAGCGGGTCAGCCCGCCTATAAGTGGAACTAGCTCGCTCAATCGGCCAATCAGGTTGAGTGGAATATTAGCCCACATGAGTCGAGGGCCAACCCCGCTCGTCTTGCAGCCAACTCAATAATCGGGTCGAGACCATCCCATCCCGCCGACGGATAGAGTCGGATCGGGACAAAATGCATGTCGAGCGAACGAGCAACTGAGCCAACTTGGCCGAGTGCCTACCACTATGTGTAGGTGGAATGGGGCGTGTGAACATGAGTTCTCAAGCTTCTTCTCATGACTCTTGAAAGAAAAAAATGTTGTCAAGCTGCTACTCCAAATGTGGAACATGTGCTGCTGATGTGCACAATCCCCAGCCTTGCATTCACATTTGGCCCGGTTGTGAAATAATGGTTGGCTTTTTTTTAAGGGTGGGGGGATACTCTGTAGAAACTCATATCAAAAGAGAGTTCCAAGCAGTACTTGTAAAATCCAAAAGATAACTTGCGTCAGCAGAATGAAAGTTAGATGGTTAGTAACTATCAAATTTACCATTCGTGCTTTGTACACATGTCAAGATCCTCTGGAGAACCATCTATATCATTGTTGGGTATGAATTGTGAGCCTGGACAAGAAGACAAAAGGGGGAATGGGGCTAGAGAGGGTAGCATTGTTGGGCATGAAAACTTTGAGCATGTAGGAGGTTGTTCTTTTGAAACATGATATCATCCACATCCTAGAAAGGACAATCAGTAGTAAAGCAACATCCATAGCCAACTCTCACTGTCGTCTCTTATTAAGGTCTTTTTCTCACAAATCGCCTCCTCATAACTCCTATCTACCCTTTTGTCTCTCACATGTAACTCTCAAAGTCATTATTCATTTATGATAGTTGTGCTGCCTCTCCTACCTCTGAAGCCTGAAACAGACGCTGCCAAAATGAATTAATTTGTCCTCTTGTTCGGTGGATGATTCAAGTATACGCATAACAAAACACATAGTACGTAGCAACACTTTAGTCACACTAGCAAAAGCACTTAAAGCTCCATTAATTTGCATCAATTTACACCTTACAAGGTCAATACACCACCCATCTAGAGAATTTGTTAGTAATGACGATGACTAATCACACGGGCTACCTAGATACTAGCATCTATACTAATTACAAATTACATGAAGAAATACCCATAATCCATAATGATGCAGTTGTACTCATTTATGTACATGAATTCATCTTCCACCCCACAAAACTCTCCCAAAGCAGCAGGAGGAGGAGGCTGGTAGGTCTCCGTCGATGATGAGCTCGGGCTTCCTCCTCCATCACCAACACTGCAACCACCCTCCGAGAGCTTCTTGATTTTCTCCTCAGCGTCCAAGAGCTTCTCTTTCAGGCTCAAAACCTAATTGTCATCATTATCAATTAGTTAGCTTAGGTTGGGTTTCTATATTCAACAACATATATCACCAAATATTATGTCATCTCAGGATGTCCTACACTAAAACCAGAGTAATCCAATCCGAACCAAGTAACGTACTTAGGCATTTTGAACAGAAGAAAAATTAATGAGTAAGAAATAACAAACTCGTTTTGCTAAATGAGCTAACTTTATCGGCCACATCAGAGTATATGCACCTAATGATCGTTCTCTCAGCTTAGTCTATTAAAAACGCATCCTTACCTCATTCTCAAGGTGGCATTTCTGAACGACGACGGCATCGTGCTCTGATTTAAGCTTAACGTACTCCTCCTCCAGCCGCTTGCTCTTCCACCTCGCCCGCCGGTTCTGGAACCAGACGGCGACCTGCTTCGGGTCAAGCCCGAGCTCTGTTGCGAGGTGCATCTTCCTCCCTGACTCGAGCTTCTTCTCTTTCCCAAAACTCATCTCTAGAAAACTCACCTGCTCATCACTGAGCTTCCTCTTCTTGCTCTCAGCGGTCCCTGCCAGCTCATCGGCCTTCGGCCTCCTTCGTCGCCTCCTCGTCCTCTTCTGATCGCCTGATAAAAGAAAATAGTACTACTACTATTACGCCGGTTCTTAGCCATTTGTTTTGTACTATATATAGACGTGTCTGCAAAATTTTGTACGTGTAATAATCACAACCATCTACTAACCTTGAGGGATTTGAGGGTAGAGGTCTAAGGAGAAGAGCATTTTTTCTTCTACTTGCTTCATGCTGCTGGCCATGGTTCTCTCTCTCTCTCTCTCTCTCTCTTTTTTTTCTCTCTCTCTAAAACAAATTAAACACTTTGTTTGGTTATTTACCGAGCACAAAATTGTGCGTTCTAGGGGTAATTTTTTTTTCCCTTGTTTTTTCCCCCTCAAATAGAAGCGTTTTGTCTTTGAGGGGAGAGTTAACGAGGTGGAGTGAAAGTCTCGAGGCTAATTTATATGATTGAGTTTTGCGAATACCCTTGGAATTGAGGATAATTACTAAGGAGCCATCTTTTTCTATCACCCACATAAAAGGAAAGAGACGTCTGAGTTCAGGAGACTTGAAAAGGAGGACATGATCGCCATTTATTACTCTTCCCTTTTCACGGTTCCTGGAAACAGGGGGGGTATCAAAGTCCCTGTTGACGTTAGCAGGCCATCTTTTTGATGAAAATGACCACCCGAGGGCATTGTGGGAAGGGGTGAAATTCTGTGATCACTGTACTCATTAGCTGTAGGCCTGTAAGGCATCGGCATTGAGATTTTTAATAGTCCCAAAAAGGGCTCGAATCCCGAAGCTTAGCCCACTTAAACGAAGTACGGACCCAGAGGGGGTGTTTGAGGAGTTGCCTTTTTTTCTGGGCTAATTACGACTTTATTACCTTGTAGTTTCCCCTACTTTGTACTCTTATGTTCTCGCTTATTTTTGAGAGTAGTTATAGTTATATATATTTGGATTTTTTAAATTCACACTTTAATATTTTTTTATTATACAAACGGTGAGAATATTCTCCCAAAAATCCTCATATACCACTCACATGCTAATTTTAAAACATTTTAACTATTAATTATTGTTAACTTTACTTGCTAAACTATATCCTATTTTTATTAAAAAATATAGGATAGATTTGAAGGGAATTAAAGTAGGTTTAATAATAAATTTAACAAAATCAAATATTAAGAGCTTTTAAAATTAGTATGCGAGTGTCACATGAGAACATTCGAGGTAAAATTCTGACATTTTTTTAGAAGATATTGAAACGCAAATTTTAGTAACTTCAGGGTATATAAATGTTGCCAAAACAAATGAGGGTATACAAGTGCAAAGGAGGCGAAACCACAAGGAATTTAAGTGTTAGTTAGCCTTTTTTTAATAAAAGAAATGGTGAGTTTTGTTAAGTAATCACTTAATCCTTTCTTTGATTGTGGGATTATGGTCCCTAATCTCAACTACAACGATCTATTGACATGTGTGTGCACTCACCAACTAGAAACTAAGAAATCTTAAAAGGAGATTAATTGAGATTCTCAAGAGATCTCCTATTGCCCTAAACAAATTGTGTGGATTGGTTGGTCCCCTTGTCCGATTAGGTTCTCAAAGAGGGTTCGAGGTTGATGATATGTACCTTTAAGTTTTTGCTAAATAAACCCAGTGAACAATGCATCATATCTACAAATGAACAGGTTGTAAAAGATAAGTACTTGCTTACAATTACAAATATGAGGGCATGAGTGCATAAGATATGCACGAGAGCTAATTAACTTTAACATATATCTAATCACTTGGGTGTTGCTTTATTTATCGTTTGTTATCAACGTAAACTCAATCAGTTTGCAATAGCGTGTGGCTTGCACGCGTACGAGCACAAAAGGGAAAAAATCATTTTCATTTCGGTTATTGTTAGCTTTATATAATCAAACATTTCACAATTCTCCTCATATGATTATTCAATGGTTGTATTTAGTTAAAACATATAATTGTAATAGCGATGTAAGTCAAGCTCAAAAATGATGTTTTATGAGATTAACTCCAAATTTTATCTTAACTTTACTTTGACTAAGCCAAACTATTTGTCAGCTACCAGTAGCCAAAGATTCGAGGAAGGACTTGGTGGGAGATTGTGCACATGGGGGGCATCGATAGAGGAGTACACGTGTCAAACTCTTGGGAGGGACCACAGTCTCTATCCTCACACGTGTCAAGTGATGATGACGCTAAGCGTGTGGAGGATGTGAGCTTTCCAATCAGAACGCTCAAAGTGAGTAATGGCTCCCCACCCCTCACATCACCAACAAAGGACGGCAGCATTTTATGGTAATCTGGATCAGTTCTTTCCCCACTGTATGCTCTGTCGCTTTGGTCCCCCAAAACCGAAATAAAATGAAAAAACAAAATTCTAATATACTTATTAAACTTTAAGATAATTTTTAGCTCTTCGGCTAAGGGCTGTTTGTTTTGTTTTACATAAATTTATGGAAAAGGAAAAATGGCTAAAAATTATAAAAAATTGTGTCAATGCCTCCCAAAAAAATAAAATCTTCATATGTTGCAGTCCCTTTGACTTTTTCCCATGTGTTTTAGCCCTTAAAAATTGAAGAGCTATGCTCTGTTGCCCTCTTTTAGCAATTATTACTTGCCAGCTAAGTATAGAGAGAGGATAAAAAGTAAAAAACCCAAAAATATCATTATCTTCTCTATTCTTTCATGTTAAGTCTAAAAGCTTTCATGTTAAGCCTAATTCATATTAAGTCTAAAAGCAAGTTGAATTAGACTTAACATGAAAGTCTAATTCCATGTTAAGTTTAATTTAATTCATGTTAAGTCTAATTTAATTTTTTAAGTCTAATTTAAATCATTTTATGTCTAATTCAACTTGTTTCAAGTATAATTTAATTCATGTTAAGTCTAATTCAACTTGTTTTAAGTCTAATTTCATGTTAAGTCCAATTTAATTCCCAAAAAAATAAAATCTTCATATGTTGCAGTCCCTTTGACTTTTTCCCATGTGTTTTAGCCCTTAAAAATTGAAGAGCTATGCTCTGTTGCCCTCTTTTAGCAATTATTACTTGCCAGCTAAGTATAGAGAGAGGATAAAAAGTAAAAAACCCAAAAATATCATTATCTTCTCTATTCTTTCATGTTAAGTCTAAAAGCTTTCATGTTAAGCCTAATTCATATTAAGTCTAAAAGCAAGTTGAATTAGACTTAACATGAAAGTCTAATTCCATGTTAAGTTTAATTTAATTCATGTTAAGTCTAATTTAATTTTTTAAGTCTAATTTAAATCATTTTATGTCTAATTCAACTTGTTTCAAGTATAATTTAATTCATGTTAAGTCTAATTCAACTTGTTTTAAGTCTAATTTCATGTTAAGTCCAATTTAATTCATATTAAGTTTAATTTAATTCTTTTTACGTCTAATTTAAATCATGTTATGTCTAATTCAACTTGTTTTTAAGTCTGATTTAATTAGAATTAACATGAAATTATGTTAGGTCTCATGTTTATGAGCCTACCATCTAATCTAGATTTGATGATTAATAAATAATTCCTAATAACGTTTGTCGAGTGTTTATATTTGACTGTTAGGTATTCTACACAAAGGTCCTCTGTCGGAGGTTAGTTAGACTTGGTCCTACACAATCATATCCATTGGAGGATGGAAGGAAATTGGAGTGAAGTCGTCGCAATTCAAGTCAAATACGAGATCGTGCTTCATCCCCTACCAAGCTGAGAATCGTTCAACATCGAGCTCAAATGAAGACTTTTAGCTTGAGTATACTGTTTCTAGTTTAGTTGTGTACTTTATGTGTTAATACTCAAAGCTCAACTTTTTTACACATACACATTTTTGTTTTATATATAGCCTTCAAGTTTATTCATATAAATATGAAACAAATAGTTATATGTATATACATACATACTCGTTTCCTTCAAGTTTATTCATATAAATATGAAACAAATAGTTATATGTATATACATACATACTCGTTTCATATTTATCATCTTGGTTTTGGAAAATAAGAAACAAATAGTTATATGTATATACATACATACTCGTTTCATATTTATCATCTTGGTTTTGGAAAATAATATTTTTATGGATTAAAGACTTGATTGCACTATTTTATATCTTTCCTCGAGTCTAATAATCTATTAAAAAATGTTTCAAAATTTGTTTGGAATGATTTCATTAAGATCGAGTTTTCACATTGGTTGAAAGATGTGCCAGAGCCATGATATTCTCAGTAGGAGTGTCTTGCAGATATAGTTGAAGAATAGGCCAAAGTTCAGTTATCTCTTCTTAGTTGATGGTCTTAGTTTACTTTTGCAGTATTTTCTTTTTTTTCGTTGAGCGATGTATTTTATATTTCTTCAGTTTTCAGTTGTTTAATTTTATATAAGGGCATGTTGACCCTAATATTACATCTTGGATGGTATTCACTTGTGATATGGATATTTTGTTCTGGGTTGTTTATTATATTCTCGCTATCTGTGATCGGGGACCTGTGTCTTTACAATTATTTCTTGACGCTTAGCGTATTAGGTTGAGGAGAAATGTTTATTTTTATTTATTCTCCTTAATCTAATATGTTGCGGGCTTGTTCATGTTCTGATTTCCCGGTATTTTGGGAAGCTGTAAGACCCTATAGATTTTGATAATTTATATATGTGACTATTAGTAAAAAATAATATTTATTTATAATAAATATCTTTATGACATGGTTGTGCATGAAATCTGGCATTTTTGAGCTTATGAGGATGTATATATGCATCAGAGTCGAAGAACTCAGTTTTCAGCTCATGAGTCGACCCATGACTGTCATGAGTCGACTTATGATATCATCTCCCTTTGTCATAAGTCTCTGCTGAGTCGACTTATTATCTTATGAGTCGACCCATGAGTCATGAGTTGACTCATGACTGCCATGAGTCGACTCATTAGGGGTTTCCTGAGTTTTGTGAGTCGGGTTTGTTTGGGTTTTGGGTCGGGTTTTAACTGTTCACATATATTCTCCTCCACCCGAAAACACCTCTTTTCATCAGTTCTCCCCAGAGAAACCCTAGCCTCCTCTCCCATTCAAAACCCTAGTTCGTTTTTGGGTATTTTGGGAGATTTTCGGGGGATTTCAGCAGCTTCTTTTGGATTGCAGCGAAGGGGATCATTCTTCATCACATCTGAGGCGAGTAACATCTCGCCTAATCCTTCTCCCATGTTTTCAATAGTTTACAAACATTTTTTATGAGTTTTATTGAGCCTAAGACTTATTTTCAAATATAAATCAATGTTCTTATTAGGGTGAATGCTAGAAATCATGCGTTTCAGATTTGAAATCCTCACCAACGAGTTTTTGATAAAAACCCAGATCTGGAAATTTATTTAAGAATAACAAATATGAGTTTTTATTT